AAAAACCGCTCCATCCCTAATTATAATAATTATTATTATAAATATAGTTTATAGCTGATTTTTAAACCACTTCAGACAAAAGACCTACACAACCACAGGCCATTTACCATGATATAAATAGCAGAGGGCTACTATACTGAGAAGCCACAACGTCCAACATAGGAGGATTTTAATCATAACTTTATATACTTAATTTTCTGTATAGTCCATTTCACAAATATCGTAGCCAAAAAATCCTTTATCAAATGTTTTGTGCAAATTCTGATCTGTTTTGCACACTTTGTTTATCAAACGATCAACTGTTATTTTCAAAGCTGATAAGGAAGTGACAAGGTCACACATTCAAAGTGTCTTATCTACATTTAGATGCTGACGTTGTGAACAATAACAAGCTGTCACCATCAGAGATCTTAATGCAAACAGGACAAACTGCATTCCTCTGACTAAAAGGATGTCCATGTCGAGAACACAGTAAAACAGATCTGTGGCATCGAGAAAAAATATGACTGAAAAAAGGGACCAGTTACCGTTTAGTTTGCATTCAGGTATTTTTTTTTGTTCCATATTACAATTTAAGATTTTTAAGTACAGAGCTATACTCACAGATTAAGTTATATACTTATTTATATCCTAAAGTATATAAAAAAGTTTAAAAAAAAAGACACTATCCATTAAGTGGAAGCATTCCAGTAGCTAAGGAAATAAAAGCAAGTGTTTACCAGGTTAATAATGGAGTCATAGATTTAGCCCTATCCTCTCTACAAATAAAATACCTATATAAATAATACGTTTTCTCTTTGGGCAGTATTTGATATCTACTGACTTAGCGCTCATTCTAGAAGAAAATCTGTTTATATTTTAGAGAAGTTTAAATAATCAAAAATAAAGTCAAGACATTGTGCAGTTTGTGTTAAATAAAATTCAGTCTTACAGCGCCCCCATGTGTCAGCTTTCATCCATATGAAGTGACTAGTAAACAACAGTGTGAGCAGAACTTGCCTGCAGTTAAGTGAAGAGGTTAAAAGTGAAGGGAGAGAATTAAAGATCAGAAACTCAGTTTCTAGAGGAAAATCTTAATCGGATGTCTTTATGGCGCCCAAACAGGCAGATTTAGATTTTCCTTGATCCAGTTTACATTTGCAGTTTAATCTGGGCTGAAATTGAACTATATATTTTGAGTTGAATGTTTCTTTATAGATGCCTATAATATATCTGTAAAAACTGACCAGGAAACAAGTAAAAAATTCTTAAAGTCGCTGTATTTGTTCTTAATTTTAACAATGAGCTTTTTTGCCCTTAAAATCAGATAATTGGAGATATCTAGGGCCGGTTATCCTCCCACAGATGACGCAGAGATTTTTGATTTATGCCCAACATTGAAGCGTAGTTTGCACTATACCATACTTAAACGCAAGAGGGACAATCATAACCTAGCTGTGGGTCTAGATACGGCCGAGGCAGTGAGGAAGTGGGGGCAAGTTTGTGCGACAACGGAGGGACATGAGGGCCAAAAAGAGCGGGGATCCAGGTGGAAAAAGGGTCCCAGCGTTCTCGTGCACCTCGCTCTTCTAGCTGGCCCATCTTCATGAGTCATTTTCCACAATGGTGGTCATAAAAACAAAACAAGGAAGTAAGGTACCAAACAGGAAATACGCATACAGGGATATATACGCGTGTGTCTATTTTCAAGCCCTGCCAGAGGGATGTGGGGGCATGGAATCAAAGATTGCATGAACGATTGAAGACTAAACTTGACTTTCGAAAATCCAATACTAAAAACATCCAGAAAATGGCAAAAGTGCATCTACATCTAGCGTGAATGGGAGGTCATGTTCGGCGAGTAAAGCACAAACCCTTATTTTTAACTAGCATACACGGTCAGTTATTGACGTTGGTACGTCAGCTGTTGCCGTAGCTCCTGCCAAACGTGTAGTGTGCGGGACCGCACAAGCAGCAGCTTGATGACCAGGTTCTAACTCATGTTTGCGTAGCACTTTTTAGCTGCTGGATGCGTAAATAAGCTTCCTGGAGCACAGAGTGTCGGAGTTCAGGAACTGTATTGTTCCCATTCCATGAAATTCCATTCTCTCTATCATCCTTCTCAACAAACACAAAGTTTCATTTATTTATTTTTTGACTTTTCTCCGTTGAATGGAGCCGTAATCTGCACAAGATGACTTTCCCTTCAGCACTGTACCACAATCTATCTGATCCCTCCATTGAATGAAAAGAGGAGGTACACACTTCTTCTTCTGATTGGCTAATACTTTTATTTTCAGAGCGCTCTTTTGATTCAATTGGCTGACAAACACAAGGGGGGTTTCGATTGTCTTTTTTCATTTTTATTTAGCGTCAATTGTTTTTGGGTGATTTTTTTTTTTTTACCCACAGGCAATCGCTACGAGCCGGAAATCCGGCCTAGGAACGGAATACTTTAATACTTTAGGTGCTGCAGACTCTCTGCGTTAACTGCGATGCACATGCAGACGACCTGGTTTCTGAGTATAAATCAGTCATTCAGGTTTTTTCCTTGTTTAAAATGTTAGTCATCTTATTTTATTGGTAAACTGTCTTACCTGCTCAAGGGACCAAAAAACCCCCACTAATTTTAAGAAAAAATTACATATTTATATTTACATTTTTTGCAGTGTAAATTGTGTTTTTAAGGTCCTTTCTATACCAGCTGCTCCAAAGTGGGACCCCTTGTTTCAAAAGGGTACCAATTTCTCACTCCAGCACTGGAGAATTATAACTTTTACTCAGGGTGAGAAACCGTCTATAAAAATAGAACCTATTAACGTAAAGAAAGAGGTAAATGCCTTTTTTCCTCCATTTTGCTTTTAGAATGAATAAGACTTTCAGAGTTTCCCTTTGAAGAAGATTTTTTCCTTCCCATGTCCAAGATCAGAAAAGAAAAATTTTCTGGATCAGCAAAATTTAAAAGAATTAGCACAAAAAACTTTAGATTTTTTTTTTTTTTTTGTCATAAGTGATCTTTTAATGATGTTTTAGATCAACAACAATTGAGGAGCAAAGAGGCAGCGAAAATAATGTAATGTTGTTGACGTGTTTGACACGGCAGACCAATAAACCCGACTCATTTACACGTTAGATAGTCATGGAGGCCTCGTAGGTTCAGCTGAATCAGCAATAAAACCAAAGTCCGATGCAAATCCCTCCCAAACAGACCTACCTGACAGAACCATTAACTAACTTTATGACACCTAGATCTGGGTTTAAAGGAATAGTACACCCAAAACATGATTAGCCTTCATTTTCTACTCACCTCCATGCTGAACAAGACTCT